AAATATACGAAATATCGGATCAGAGTCGTATCGCTCTCCCTATTATCTATCCCCTTCCCCTCCCTTCTTCACAAACCTTGATTTCCTTTATTAGAATTAAAAAAAAAAAAGAAAAAATCGCTGATTCGAAAGCGACTCTGAAGAAGATTGGATTTTAATTTTAATTCGACGTACCTCAGCTGTGCATCCATTGGTTGTTGTGTGCGTGCAAGGGTTGGGCCCACAATTGGTGCAGGTTACGATCTCGTTCGGCCCTGTCGTAGCTCCGGTCGGTGGACCGCCCTCTCGCTTCTTTTTACCCTGCGACAGGGTCTCCGTAGAAGAAACTTATATTCTTACTTATATCTTTTCGATGTTAAACAACGATCCATCCTTCGACCAATTATTATTATTACACTCTACGCCTCTCTCCGTTCTTTTTTCTTTTCTTTTCCTTTTCTTTTCCCTTTCGACATTTGCCCCCCCTCCCCGTTCGTTCCGTTTCGTTCTCGTTTTTCAAAGCGGAGAAGAAGAAGAAGAAAAAAAAAAAAAAGGAAAGAAAAAGAGAAGTGATGGCCGATACGATCATCGAAACGACGATTTTCATCGTTCGACCGAGAGAGGGAGCGTTAACCCCTCCCCTCCCCACCCCAAAGTTGAAAATGTAAAAAAATTTCGAACAAAGTTACTTCCATACTTCACTTATATGAAACGCAAGACATAACATTTATTTTAGCTGTTACAATCGAAGCTTTTACGATTATTTTCAATTATTATTAATAGATAGAGTTGAATCTTCTGAAGTAACTTTAACTCGATTAAATTTTCCCCGATCACCGGGGAACGAGAATCGTTGTTATAATCGTCTTAGGGAAATTTCACGGTTTCGAACGGTGGTCAGCGATCGGTGAAAAAAAAAAAAGGCTTCCTCCATCGATCGTTCTCGGGGAGGGGAGGGGTGAGAGAAGCGCGTAGTAAAGTATAAAAATAAGTTAAGCGTGATGATGAAGCCACTTCCGTTTAAACGGGCGTTTAAATAGAAAAGCTTGCGTTTGTTGGAGGCGTGTGAAACGATTTTTCGAACGATTTTTCGGGCCTCGCGCATCGGCCACATTCTTCCCTTCTCTTCGTATATTACGAATTTCGCTTCGTTCCCTTCCGAAAATATAATCCCGCAAAGCGAAATACCGATACCTCGGAAGTGCGTGTTCTAATCTTTTGAAAAGCAATCTTCTTCTCTCAGAGAGTTAAACGAAATTTAAGAAGTGAGTGGGTAGGTAGGTAGGTAGTTAAGTAAGTAAGTAAGTGAAGCGAGATAAATAATAATTATCGTTATCATACGTACATCCATGGAAGATTCGAATCGATCGAAATTGAAATCGTTACAAATCCATCTCTTTGCCCAACTGTTCCACTATATTATATATGTATATATATATGTATATGTATATATATATACATATATATATATATAAGCAAGCGAGGCACGGCGTCTATTGTCTTGATCGAAAAGCGAATCGTTGTTTCTCTTAAAATCGGTTACATCTTGTATACGTATATATATGTATATATATATATGGATCAATACTTTCGTGCCTCTGCGTATAATATTACTTACGAGTTACATGCCGTATAACATCTACGTAATTACATTGTCGCACATCGGACTCGAACCTTATTATTTTAACCTTCCTTCCAGTTTTTCCCCCTCCTTCCTCTACGAGATAAAACGTCCCTCCCTCGAGAGGGAAACCAATATTTCGAATATTTTTTCTTTTCTTTTTTTTTTTTTTTTCTTGAAAAGAAGTTTGAAACGGAAATGAAAATTTCGCTTATAATATATATATATATATATATATATATATATAGTATATTCAAAATAACTCGTTTAAAAGAAGAAAAAAAGGTAAATATATAAAATGACTTGTTTAAAAAAAAGGTAAATATACAAAATAACTCGTTTAAAAAAAGTAAAAAAAGGTAAATATACAAAATGACTCGTTTAAAAAAAAGATAAATATACAAAATGACTCGTTTAAAAAAAAGGTAAATATACAAAATGACTCGTTTAAAAGGTAAATATACAAAATGACTCGTTAAAAAAAAGATAAATATACAAAATGACTCGTTTAAAAGAAAAGTAAATATACAAAATGACTCGTTAAAAAAAAGATAAATATACAAAATGACTCGTTAAAAAAAAGATAAATATACAAAATGAGTTTAAAAAAAGAAAAAAAGGTAAATATACAAAGTTTAAAAAAAGAAAAAAATATACAATAAATAAATATACAAAATGACTCTTAAAAAAAAAAGAAAAAAAATTAAATATAAATAATTAATCGAATTGTATCGGGATCTCTGACAGGGGAGAGACGAAGAAAGCGTCTCGATTCCGATGTGAACGACAACTCTCTCTTGTAACAACTGTACAATATCTAAAAAAAAAAAAAAAATCGTTTCGAAGATGTTACGATATCTTTCCCTCGAACGAACGATAAGAATTTCCCTTCGCGATCCTCGCGCAGTTTAATGCACATTTTTTTCTTTTCTTTTCTTTTCTTTTCTTTTCTTTCTTTCTTTCCATCCTTATATTCTTTTTTCTTTCTTCTTTTCATTATCATTAAACTGAGCGAAACGGATGAGAGAGAGAGCGAATTTCTGTTCACCGGGACAGTTGCGTTTGAGAAAGATATTTTTAACGTCAAGCTTATGCTACAATGTTCAAGCTTCAATTACGGGTCAAGTTCAATGGCGAAAAAAAAAAGCGATTGTCGACGTCACAATCATATTATATTATCGTTTTATATATATATATATATATATGTATATATTATTAACAATATATATATATCTATAGGAAGGAAATGTACGTGTATACAGCTGGATTATATGGATCGGATCGCATGATCGCGAGAGTTGGAAAGAGGAATTAAAAAAAAAGAGAGAAAGCGAGAGAGAGAAAGAGAGAGACGATGATTGTGACGATGTAAATTACAGAAGGAAGAATGAAACGGATTCCGGTCGTTTCGTCGTTCATTGTACTCGTCGATAAATCTCGCGCGTCGTTAAAACGATTTTAAGAAAAAAAAAAAAAAAAAAAAAAGAAAGAAATCGTTCCTTTTTTCTTTTTTTTTAATTAAGGAATTGCGAATTCCTCGATGAATGAAATATTTCGAATATATTTTACATCGATCCAAGGGAGGAAAGAGAAAGAGAAAAGAGAGAAAGAGAGAGACAGAGAAAGAGAGAAAGAAAGAGAGAGAAAAAAAAGAAAGAAACGAAACCTCCAAGTCCATCGTTGTCTTTGTTTCGATCGAGTTCGATAAAAAGTAAATTCTTGTATTCTGGTATAAATTTATGTTTGTTGATGAATAATTAAAAAAAAAAAAAAAAAAAATGAAAAAAATCACGAATTGGACGAAAAGAAACGATCGAATCGAAAATTACGTTATTTTCTTTTGGAAAAAAAAAGTATCGCTCGCAAATCAGAAAAAGCGAATAATCTCTAATTTCTGGCTGGCTAAGATCCATATAAAACGTATCTGCACAACTGTTTATCAACTCGAGCAAAGAAAACTTTGATTTGACATTATTTAAAAAAAAAAATAAAATCAAATAAAATCGTTCCTCTTCGATCTGCGAGCGATCTCTGTGAATATTTCGATTAATTTCGAGTAATCGCCGGTTCTCGAACAACTTTTACTTTTAAATTTTACGCGTGGGAGCGCGATCAAGCGACACACACACACACATATATATATATATATATGTATGTATTATTAAACGGAGAGAGGTCATCGCGAAAAAGTTTTCCTCTCACAAAACAACGCGTTGGAGGATGATAAAGCGTATATTATTTGCCACGGCGGAAGGGATCGAACACGGCGGTGGATAGAGTGAAGATAGTCGTTGTAAATACCATTGTAAATGTATCAACGCGTTGGATTCGCGCGATTTCGTAAAACGGAATCGGATAAGGTATATCGAATAATAAAGTTTCGTCAAGGCAACATGTATTATTAGGGATCGTTTATCGTGCGCGTGCAAGTTTTATATATATATATATATATATGTATATATTTACTTATACACATACATACATATTTTGCATGCATCACATGCGTTCACATGCGTAATACGTACAGGTTCAAGGTTCGTCCCTGTTCATCGATTCAAAATGCGGATTCATGCATAACATGCGGATTCGTGCTCGTTTGGATTTACAAGAAGAAGAAGAAGAAAAAGAAAAGGAAAGTTGCGTATTGTTCTTATTATTCGAAACAAAATTTGTAAAAAGGATGGAAATATTGATTCTTGCGAATCCAAAACGAGACGAGGAACAGCAGCTATAACAAGCGATAATCGCAATCGTTTATTCAATGCAGATTTTTTTTAGTTAGTAAAAGTAAAGCTATTCTTTGGTTCTACCTTTCGTCAAACAGATTGCTCGCCAAATTCATCATCGCCTCTTCAGTTCATCGCCGTAATAATCGGCGGATAATGGTATATATTTGTGAATCTTGCGGCATTCTGTAAAGCTTCCATGCAATTGTTGCATCTTTTTATGCAATAACACACACATATATATATATTTAATTAAGTGCACCCAGTGTATGGAAACAACGGCTGTTTTTTTTTTTTTTTTTTTTTTTTTTTTTT